ATCTTCTCAAAAAAATTAAAAAATAAAAATAAAAGCATCAACTGCTCCTTTCAAAAGATGAGCAGAAATTGGCAGTATAGTTATCCAAACTATTCTGTATATATACGTAAATATATCTTTTTCCCTTCTAGGTATTTTTCCAAAACATGATTTTTTTTTTTACTGTTATATTTGTTAGAAAAAGATCTAGCAGCAGATGTTATAATTACTGTGATTCTTAAGCAGTGTTTAAAAGAAATGATCTTTCAGGGTATCTGCAATTGCTGTGTGACGTGGAAGTGTCTTTGCTGTCTTCTAGAGTCCTATTTGTGTACCTTGTTACATTTGTAAGTGAAGGAAATGCTAAATTTCTATGAGATGTGTGAGGATGTGGGTGTCACTTGTGCCCAGTGAAGGTGGGTGTGCTAGGTTCAGGATCACTTCTTTTTTTTCTTCCCAACACCCTGGAAGGAAGCAGAGGAGCAGGCCCGGGTCCTGGCCAGTACAGGACAGGGCCACGTCTCTGCGTGTGTCTGGTCTCAGTGTCCTGACTCTTCACTGGTTCACCACTGGCTCCCTTGCCACCAAGTGGACACGGAGCAGCCTGTGCCAGGGGTCTGGGGCAGTGGAGTTTTGCAACCTGCGCTGCTTTGTGGGCCAGTGTGACATACGGGAAGGGGTGGGGGTGGGGGGTGATGTGCAAAGGTGTCCCGAGCCTTCCCTGTGTGAGCAAGCAGGGGCTTCTAACCTGTGCTTACATAGGCCTGGTGGCCCTGGTTCCCACTGAGCCCAGCACTGGTTCCCACTGAGCTAGTTCCTGCTGAAGGTAGAAGAGGGAGCAGCCTATTGTGGGGAGAACAAAGACCAGGCCCTGAGAAAGGCAGATTCCTTGGCAGGTTTAGTTCACTCTTTTGCTCAAAAAAACCTGTTTAGTGTTACTAGTTGTAGAGATTACATGATCTGATTCCAGCCCTAGGGAGTGGTTGCCTGCTGGAGGATGTCTGATGGGAGAGATGCCCCATGCAGCCTGCCTACTGATAGAGCCAGGGTAGCATGTAGTCCCCGGCCCTGGCAGGCTCTTCCCGAAAGGCTAGCTGCGCAGTGTGTCAGGAAGCTCTTCTCACAGCTCCCAGCCCTCAAGCCCTTGGGCTTGGGCCTCCTGGCTTCTCTGCTTCTCAGGGCTTAGGGTTTGCTGCAGCTAAATTCCCAGGCTGTTCATAACTGGATCTGAACCACACAGGCCTGCCAGGCTCACCAGTGTATCCCTGAGGCTCTGCGGGAGCTTGGATCCCTGTGGAGTCTGAGGGCGAGGGGAACCCTTTCCCAGGAAGGGACCTGAGCTGGCTGCTGAACAGTGTGATTTCTAAGCAGCCCAGCATACAGGGCTTTCTGCCCAGCTGCCTTCAGGACTCCTAGGCAGAGCATCCCCTCAGGCTCTCGGGGGCTGAGCTTTGAGCCTGAGATGCTAGCTTATTGCCATGGGACACTGGCAGGAGGGAGCCTGCAGCCTGAGCCTGACCTGTAGCCTTCTGGCTCCTCCAGGAGTGGCCTGCAGTGCCATCCTCATGTACACATTCTGCACTGACTGCTGGCTCATCGCTGTGCTCTACTTCACCTGGCTGGCCTTTGACTGGGACACGCCCAAGAAAGGTGAGCAGCCCTAGTGGGGCTTTCCTGTCCGTGAGGGGTTGCATGGCAGTCGGTCACATGATGGGAGGGACACAAGGGGAGGGACACAAGGGAAGGGGCGGGTGGGAGGGGCTGAGGCACTAAGTGGGCTGAGAGTTTCCTACCCCAGAGCTGCACACTAACTCTCTGGGAGGCCTTGCCCAAGTGTCCCCCAGCCCTACTTCTTCCCAACACTGTCTTTTGTTCCCTGGAAGGTGGCAGGAGATCACAATGGGTACGAAACTGGGCTGTGTGGCGCTACTTTCGAGACTACTTTCCCATCCAGGTAAAGATGTTTGTTGTGATTTGGGGAGGACAGGATGGGTGGAGCCCAGGCCTGGTCCTTCCCATGTGTGTGAGTTGAACTGTGTGGGAATCTCCCACTAGAAGCAATCCATACTATACCTTCCATTGTGCAGAATTTGATAACACAATCCCACAAACTGGATAAGGGAAGAGTTATGACTTAGGGGAAAATAGGAGTCTTTCAGCCTTAATGGGAAACAGTTGCTGCGTCAGTTCACATTTAGCTCTGAGATTCCCTGCAGCTGAGGCAAAAAAGAAGCATAGTCACTGCTTCTTGTTTGGGGAAAGGAAAAAAAGACCAAAAACTTACTAGTTCTTCTGAAACAAGATTTGTTTTAATCTTAGGATCTAAAGATTGTTCGTTTACTGAGAACCCCAGTGATGTAAGGAGCAGATATAAAAGCATATATTATGGTCATTGTTTATCAGAATATTAAGGATATAACCTAAAATGGAGGTGATTTATCAAGAGCAACATTATAGTAGTCTGAGTTTGTCTGGCCTGAACCAGGGATAGAAGGAAAGCAGTAGGTGTGAAGGGCTTTGTTTCCCTCCGGAGATCTTACAGAAAAATCAACTCTCAGCCAGTTGCTGGGGCCATGGTCATGAGGTTAAGGGCCTGGGCCATTTGCTGAGTAGTGGAAGAAGGTCAGGTGCCAGGGGCTGAAGGGGCTGGGGAAAGCTCCAGGAAGGGTGTGCGAGAGCTGCGTTTCCTAGAGGTGGGGAGACAGAGCGTAGGCCTGAGCTGGAGAAGAAGCTGGGGGAGAGAAGCTGGTGAGGAGAAAGGAGAGGGGGAATCCCTCTCAATGTGACTTTTAAGCCTCACTGCACCAGGAAAGGCAGGCTTTCCCTTCACCCCTTTCTTCAGAAGAGATACCCGAGAGCCAGAAAGTGCCAGGCTGCACGAAGCCGGTGAGCAGTTGGCTGCGATTTCCATTGCTGTCCTGTCCCAAAGCAGAGCTCTTCCCACCACAGCACCCTGCCTCAGGGCAGGACATCAGTGAGAGTTAGCTGGGCCAGTGCTTCCTACAGGCTGGGAGGATGAAGACAGGGACAGTTTACATGGCTGAGGGGGCAGGGGGACACTGTTCCCTCCAGGACATTCACCCCCTTAAGAAGCAGGGATGGACTGAGATGATTGCTGGGTTTTCTGCCTGCGTACCACTGGCTGCTCCAGGGTCCCCACCTGTTGTTCTGAGCCCTGATCTTCCCTGGGGCAGACCCCAAGTGCCTGAGAGGAGCAGCAGTGGTTCCATCTGACCCCTGCCTGGGCTGGCACTGGGCTGGCTGCTGAGGCAGAGCCATGGCCCTCATGCATGTGGGCTGTGCTGCAAGATTGCAGGTTAATTGTAGCAGAATCCTGAAGGTTTCCCCAAGGAGAAAGACTTGTCCAGCTGGCTCACTTAGTACCTAGCTGGGCACACCCTAGCTCCTGCTTCCGCCCAGCAAAGGGCAGGGAGCCAAAGAGGGAGGCAAAGTGTGAGTATGAAAGTGTCTTGTGTGTGGTACAGAGTGGTAGCGTTTGCTGGTATGAGTCAGCCACCCGGACGTGCTGGCCTGCTGCCTGGACCAGGTAGCCTAGTATCCCAGCCTTGCTCCATATCATGAGGTCTTTTGGGGGCAGCCCAGGGCCAGCTTTTCTGCCCACCCACTGCCCTTGCCAGGGCTGTCCTGCCCCTTGAGGTCAGGGTTCCCTTCCCTTCCTTGCCTGACCCCCACTTCTCAGATTGCAAACAATTAGAGACTGTTGTTGCTGGAAGGCTCTTGCATCATAGGACCAACGTTTTCCTCTTAGAAGTGAGGACACTGAGTCCTAAAGAGGGCCAAGGACTTGCCCAGGTGGTACACTAGGTCTGTGGCAATAGAAATCCTGGCATTCAGTCTTCCCAAATCTGGACCCTGATTAGTTCTTCGTGATTTCCTACTGCCTGTTTCTCTGCAAGATTTCATCACCACATGTCCTACTTGCTGGGCTTTCTTCTCCCCACTTTGCTGGAGACTGGGCCCTTAGTTCCTGCTCTGTCACTCCTTCTACTGACCTGCCAGTTTCTCCCTGTCCAGTGCTGGGCTCTGTGCCGGCCTGGGGACACAGAAAGATCAGCCATAGCCCCTGCTGTTGGACTCATTGTCTAATGAATGTTGCTTGACTTTGTCACTTTCCACATGGACTCCCTCAAACTCACCAAGTATCATTTCCATCTGCAAAATTGAACTGTCATATGATAGGATTATATTACATATTATATATTATGTATATAAATTATGTGTTATTATATAGGTTACAGAGTATATTAATGTTAATTAAATATCATACTATAGAATTACAGTTGAGATGACCAACTGTGGAATGTGTTCTGTGGCCTTTCCCTTTCCCACCCCAAGGACCAGGCCTGGTGTTCTCTCTTGTCACTGTGGCCTTATCTTGAGGAAGCTTTCTGGTGACTGTGGTCCCTCCCCCCAGAACAGGATGAGCTGTTGACCGTTGATCAGACCCGAGATAGGCAGGTGTCCTTCACCTGATCTCCACTGTCCCAAAGGAACCCAAACAAGCCCTGCATCCTTGTCACGTCTCAGTTCCGAGACTCAGCTGGGAGTTGAAGCTGCAGGGCAGGTGTATGCTGGACACCAGGGCCAAAGCCAAGCTAGGGCCTCGCATGCGGGAATGTTGGGCCACCACCTGTGGCCATGCTGGAGTCTCATCTGCTCCTGGGGACTTTGGGTTCCCCTCCACAGGGAGAGAAATTGGCTTTGTTGATTAACGTCAGGTCTGGCACTCTGTAGGGTTGTGTGTGACCCTCCTGTCCCACCTCCTTTCCCTGTTCTCCTGCCACTGATTATGTATGTGGATCTCCAGTCTCCTCCTACCCACTTCCCCTCACTCCCTCTTGGTGAGCTCTGCTTTTTGACACCAGAGAAGCCCAGCTAGTCCAGAGATTGTCTCTTCTCCTCGCAGAAGTGAGACTCAAGCGTCAGCAGCAGCCACCAGGACTACTGGCTACTGGGAAGAAGAGTAGACAATGTCCTGTGTAACCTCTCTGGGTATAGACAGGACCTTTGGAAAAGAGACTAAAAAGGCCTCTGATCTTAGACTCATCCATCTGCCTAGCTGCCTCATTTCATAGATGGGCAGGATGAGGCCCAGAGAGGGTAGACTATGCCAAGATCACAAAGTCCATAGCAGGCCCAGTATAGGAGCCAGAATTACCTGCCCCAGGGCCATGTTCTTACCGTCCTGTTCCTACACTCCCCTGTTACCATGCCCTGCTGTGTAAGCCTGGGCAAATCTGTGTCTTCTCTGGGCCTGAATGTCTTCCTCTGTATGGGGCTGGCATAGGGCAAGCACATCTGAGCACCTTTCCTGGCCTCGAAGGCACAGTGTGAGGAGTGCCCTGCCAGGAATGTGTCCTGGGCTCATGTTGGCCAGCAGGCCTGTCTTGGGCACCCTGTTTGCCTGGTGCTTTGCCATGAGAAACAGTCAGGGGACATGAGAGCCTTCAGCAGCCGTGTCCTTTCTCTTCCTCTCCAGAATGGACATTCTGTCCAGCGCTGGAGGGAGGGGATCATGACATGAGGGCAGATCAAAGCTGTATGGGGTGCTCCATTCTTCTGGGTATTGAAGCACCATGCCCAGAGACCTCACTTAACCTTACATCCCATCAGAGCCATGGGGAAAAAGGAAATGATTTAGGAGCCAGCTAGGCTCCTGCTGGCTGACACATCACCATCACAGTGGAAAAGTGTGGCTTTGTGCAGCTGCGTGTCCTTGGGCAGATATGGGGAGGATTTTCCTGACCTCCTTAGAGGAAACAACAGCTCCTTTCTCTAGACCCTGTCTCCACCTTGCCACCCAAGGAGTGCCTGGTTCTTGAGGCCTCTACCATCCATCCTTTGCCTTGGGCTCCAGGTTGTCGGGACCCTGGGTTTGGCTAGCAGCTCAGGGGCACATTTCCAGCGTGGACCTGGCCACCTCGGGTCAATACTCCCCCAGTGCTTGCCTCTGCTGTGAAAACTGGGCCAAGTCTTTTGAGTCCTTGCTTCACTGGGAGCCAACAAGGTGGGCAGGAACCTGGCACGGCAGTCTTGTGCAGCTGTGGTGAACCCGGACTCCATGTAGAGCCCCAACATCCTCTTGCCAGCGATTAGCCTGGTGCCGCTGCCCAGTTATTGCTGAGCAGCTGGGAGCTTGGTAGGTTTTCAAGCAGCTTTAATCTGCTTGCCGAAGGCGCAGTGAGACAGAGAGTGTTACTGTCCCACACAACAGGAGTGATGTTAGGGACTGTTGCTCATATACTGGCGGCTCCAGAACTGGAAATGATGCCAGCCATCCCTGTTTCATCCCCTTCAGGTCCCATCACCTGAAGATTTGGGTTTTTGTTCTCTGAAACCATCACTAGCACTCCCAGTCCCCAAACTGAGCTCAGCCAGGAGGTCCCCAAATCTGGAGTCATGGAAAATTCGGGCTTTTGATGTTCTGCCAGTAGCTAAGGACCCTGCGTCCAGCTGGCATGAGTGCAGGACGGGGACACTGTTTAGTACTCAGGTGAAAATGTTGACAGTGTCACCTCCCCAGGAAGGGCAGCCAAAAAGACCAACATGTTAATAGCTCTCATAGCCTTTGACTCAGGAGTCCTATTTCTGGAAGTTTCTCTCATGAAAGCCATCAGATATGTGGACAGAGGTAAGGTATTTACTGATGTATTGTTTCTAAGAGGATAAATCTGGACACCCACAATGTCCTTCAGTTAGAGGCTGAGTCAGTGCTGTTACCTGTAGCATAGCTGGGCCATAAAAGAAGAACGCAGCCCTGAGCAGCTGTGGAGGCGGGTGCTATAATAGGGATAAATACCGGGGATTGGTTTGGTAGAAAAAGATGCAAAATGGTGTCAGCTCCGTAGGTTCAAGTTTGCATTTCTTGAAAAAAGCCACATGTGTGCTTAAGTAGGAAGAAGACCCAGTGCATCAGAGGGGCTTAGCTGGATGGAGGTGTAGCATGTGCTTTTGATTTTCTTTGAATTTTCCTAAAATTAAAAAATTCTCTATGAATATTCATTATTTTTCTAATTAGAAAAAAGTGATATTTTAAGAACAAAACACGCATATCTGTCTCTCAATACCCTCCGCCCTCATCACGTGCCTTGTAATGGGCAGTTGGTGTCTCGGGATGGTGGCTGGTGGCTCATGGTTTAGGGACATCCCAACCTCAGGCCGGGTGTTGGGCCTGAGGGAGCCAGTCCACTTTGGAGCATCCCAGGATGGCTTGCTGGTCAACCACAGGTCAGACCTTGGGCTATTCCATCACTACTACTCACCCCCACCCCCGGCTAGCTAGCACAAGGGCCAATGTCTCCTCTGTGCTGCCCCCAAACTTGAGCTGCTGGGCAGGAAGTTTCTGTTTAGGCCAACAGCACTGGCCTTGCCTGGGCCAGAGGAGTAGGAGATGGGCTGCACAGTTTCTTGTGATTCCTTGCACAAGCTGTTGGAATAGCGGCCAGATGATCCCTACCTCCAAGGAGCTCCTTGTATGAGATTGAGAGTAGAGATAGCACCCAGCTTGCCAAACCTGGCTAAGGATCGTGCACTTTACTCTTGTAGAGTCTGGATACCCCTCTTTAGTTGAGTGTGACAAGTTGGATTTGGGTTTAAGAGCAATCAATCACTCTGGCTGTGGAGAGGAAGACAGGCTCAGAGGGGTGGAGGGCAGGAGGCTGGGTGAGTGTGAATAAGTGGACCAGGTGTATGTTCGGCTGGGAGGAAGGAGATGAGAGAGAAAGGCTCCCTGTCCCAGGAACTCACATTTCAAATGGTAGCTGCCAAGTGCTGGCACTGCGGCCTCAGTCAAGACAATCTAGGGTCAGCAGGGAAGAGTCTCTGCAGTCCTTTGGGCCCACAGAATCCCGGGGGCAGGACACAGCCACCTTCAAGCATGCCCTAGCATCCCTTTCCTGGCTAGCAGCTCTGACCCAAGGCTTTCCTTACAGCTGGTGAAGACGCACAACTTGCCAACCACCAGGAACTATATCTTTGGCTACCATCCCCATGGCATCATGGGCCTAGGTGCCTTCTGCAACTTCAGCACAGAAGCTACAGAAGTGAGCAAGAAGTTCCCCGGCATAAGGCCCTACCTGGCCACGCTGGCTGGCAACTTCCGGATGCCTGTGCTGCGGGAATACCTGATGTCCGGAGGTGAGAGTCCACCCCTGGCTGCCCTCTGGACAATGTCTTCAAGGATAGAACCTTCCCACTGGATAGAGCAACACAGAGAACTTCCGTGCCATTTCCCGTGCTGGTCCTGTGCAGCCTGGTGCCACCTGTTAAAGTCTTTGGGTTAGGGCTGAGGCCGGTTCACATGGTCTCCAGGATTCAGCTTGCATAACACCTCAGCTAGGAGCGATTCCTGACCGTGCTTGCTGGCTTTCACATTGCCTGCTGCCACCCTCAGGACTGTGGAGGGCACCGCATTGTCAGCTGTCCACCGACTCGCCGGAATCCCCGGCACCTGGTACCAACCTGACAAAGTTAGGACCTCGAGGAGTGTTTACTGAATAAGAATTCCCCAATCTTGTGTCACTGTCCCCATTTTACAAATAAGCAAGCAGAGGCTCACAGACATGAATAGCTTATCCTGGGTCATACAGCTTCTGCGTGGGTGGCGTAGGCCTGGGACTGTTACAGTTTTCTGGTTTATGTTCGACCGAGTGCAGAGGGTAGGCAGTGCATCCACAAGCACCGCTGACTGTGTCTCCCTCTCCCCCAGGCATCTGCCCTGTCAACCGGGACACCATAGACTATTTGCTGTCGAAGAATGGGAGTGGCAACGCTATCATCATCGTAGTGGGGGGTGCAGCCGAGTCCCTGAGCTCCATGCCTGGCAAGAACGCAGTTACTTTGAAGAACCGCAAAGGCTTTGTGAAACTGGCCCTGCGCCATGGGTAATGCTTCCTACACGCCCTCATACATGCCACTCCGGTGCTGTCCTCAGCCCAGGGCAGAGCCCAGGCCCCAGGAAGGCATGGGTAGGGGTGTGGGAGCCTGGACTATGCTGTAGGCCGAGTTTGCCCAAGGGTAGGCAGATGTCTGAGGAGAGAAAAGATGTGGCCTGGGACCTCTGGGCCCTTACAGGGACACTGAGAAGCCAGGTTGACCTCCAGGACTTGAGCCATCCGGGGCCAAAATGCACCATATTGCTAGGAGAGCAGGGGCTCAGGAGGAGGGTGGTATGGTTGGGAACATGGGGGAAGGCTTATTGGACGGTGATCCTGGGGCCAAGGAGAGAGGAACTGGGCAGCTCGGATCTCTGCGACCATTTCTAGAAAACTAGAAACACATCTTGTGTTACCATCTGTCTAGCAGATCCAGTTTTATAAACTCACTGCTTATCCCCGTTGATTCCCCAGCAACCCAGAAGATGAGACTGAGAGTCTATTTCCCACGGGAGAAGACTGGGTGACTAGTTAGGGACACATTCTGAGGTGCAGAGCCAAGATGCTTATACACAAGGCCCACTGCTTTCCTCCTAGATGGGCCTCTAAGCAGGTTGGGGAGGGCAGCCCTGCAGAGGTGCTGAGGCCAGAGCAACAGGTATGGGATGCAGTTACACACAAGCTGGGGAGGGTATGAGGCCAGCCTGTCAGCCTGGATACATCCTCGAGTGTGCTTGGAGACAGTAGCTCTCCCCCCCGTCCACTCAGGACACCAATCAGGCCTGACCAGACTGTTCTTTAGAGCCCAGCCAAGACCTAGCCCTTAGACCTGTCAAATCCAACCTAGTCCCTGCTTTCAGGGAAGTAGTGGGCTCAGACAGGGACAACACAGTATGCCAAGGCTGTGGCGTCTGCCAGGGCATAGTGCAGCCTGGAGCATGAAGGCCTTCCCAGGGGAAGCAGGGCCTTGCAGGATGAGGGCAAACACAGCCTCCCAGAATAGGTACTCCCCAGTCACAAGCAGGAGGCAGGAGGCCCCTCACAATCTGGGTGTGAAGGGACATGAGGCTCTGGTCTGCCCCAAGAGCTAGGGGGCAGCTCAGTTGGTGCCAGTGCCTTTAGAGCTGGTAGTGGGAACTGAAGCCAGTGACTAGGGGAATGACAGATCCGGGCCTCTCCCTTCCAGAGCCGACCTAGTTCCCATCTACTCCTTTGGGGAGAATGAGGTGTACAAGCAGGTGATCTTTGAGGAGGGCTCCTGGGGCCGGTGGGTGCAGAAGAAGTTCCAGAAGTACATCGGCTTTGCCCCATGCATCTTCCATGGCCGGGGCCTCTTCTCCTCCGACACCTGGGGGCTGGTGCCCTACTCCAAGCCCATCACCACTGTTGGTGAGTCCCAGCCTGCGCAGAGGCCTGTCCTGAGCATGTTGGATCCCAGTGTGGGCCATCAAGCCCTGATGGCTGTGCTGTTCGCCATGAGGCCCTGATGGCTGGATGCTGGTGGGAGGCACCATGGGGTGGGGTGTGGGGTGAGGAAACAAGACTCCCCAGGAGCAGGGGGAGGGCTGCTGGGAAGCTGTTACAGTAGACCACTGAGGCTGTGGTTGGGATGTCTGGGTGCTCTGGTGGGTCACGGTGGACCCCACTGAGGAAGTGGCTGGCACTGTTCCTGATAGGAATTACCCAGCAAAAGAAGAGCAGAAGAGAGCTGTCAGAAACAGAAGCCAAGTTGCAGAAGCAAGATGGGATAGATTTTTGAGGAACAAAGGAAAGAATACAGATAGTGCATAGACCTACATGTGTGGCCCTCGGCTGTGTTGTTTTGCATATCTTTGGGACAATTCAAAAGACTGCAAAGAATTAACTAACGTGAGTGGTAAAGGTCACCAGCCAGAGATCTCGCAAGAGCATGTGGCCCTGGGTGGTGGATTTAAAAAACCAAAGGTCACACACATACTTTGTGTTATCAGAAGCAGGCAGTTGCTTTGCTTTTAGAGAACAAGCAGATAGCAGGGCAGCAGGAGCTCTTCCCTGCGCAGGTGCCGCTGGAGAGGATGGGGTCCTGTGGACAGTGACATTTTGAGAATGGAAAGCTGCCGGAGTGTGTTTGGAAGAGCAGCTTCAGATTTGGACTCTAAAGTAGATTCTGGGAGCTGGGCATGGTACCACAGGCCTATAATCCCAGCCCTCTGAGAAGCTGAGGCAGAAGAACCACCAGTTTGCATGTTGAAGCCCAACGTGGCCAACTTAATGAGACTATCCCAAAACAAAGCTGGGCATGGTGGCACACACCTGTAATCCCAGCACCCGGGAGGCTGAGGCAGGAGGATTACCTCAAGTTAAAGGCCAGCCTGAGCTATATAGTGAGGCCTTCTCTCATAAAACCACAAAATAGAAGTCTGTTAATGTAATTAGGTTGGAACATCCCCAGTACCAACAAATAAGTAAATAAAAATAAGTGACACCTAGGGTTTCTGGTAGGAAATATGTTAGAATGGGCAAGACGGAGGCGTTGAGGTCAGACCGTAGGCTTTTGTAGAGGCCAGTGTCTTGGCCTGAGGGTAAACAGTGGCCATGGAAGAGAGGTGCATGGATTTGGGAGAAATACCTGAAGTAGTACTGGCAGGGCTAAGAGAAGAACTGGGGTTGGGGGCAGTGCACACTGGCTAGGAGTGTCGGTCTCCTTTCCCCTTCTTTCCCTCACCACGCTTCATACCCTTTTTGGAATCCCTAGGAAAGCCCTCTGAGGTGTGGCAGGTGAGGACAATGAGGCTTACTGAGTTGTCCCATGAGTTTCACAGAAACATCTTGTAGGCTGCAAAGGGCTGTTTCACTGCAGCTGAGAGGCTTTGTGACCACGAGCAGTTTCCTTCCCACGTCCTGGCATTGTCTTCTCATCTATGAGAGGGAACAGCCTGAGAGGGAGTCTGGGCACATGGTTGCCACAGAGCCACCACCATAGCATCCTGGGTGCTCGGGAAGCGGGTGCCCCCCAACGATGGCTAACCAGATGCCCCTGTCCCTCCCTGCAGTGGGTGAGCCCATCACCATCCCCAAGGTGGAGCACCCGAGCCAGCAGGACATTGACCTGTACCACGCCATGTACATGGATGCCCTGGTGAAGCTCTTTGACAAGCACAAGACCAAGTTTGGCCTGCCGGAGACCGAAGTCCTGGAGGTGAACTGATCCAGCCCTTGGAAGGAACCAGCTGCAAAGTGTTTTCTACCGAGTTCTCAAGTGCTTTTTGTTCTGTAAATTTGGAAGCGTCATGGGTGTCTGTGGGTTATTTAAAAGAAATTATAATTTGTTAAACCATTACAATGTTAGGTGTTTTTTAAGAAGGAGTAAGTCAATATTTTAAGCTTTTTCACTTCCAGTGTGTCCTGTTCTAGGTGGTGGCTAATATATCTGGGACTTTGTGGGTTTCTCAACCAAACCCCCTGGTTCCTCTCCTAAAATGACAGAGAAAACTCCGTTCTGTTAATTGGGGAAGGATGGCCATTAATAGTTCAGGCCTATTAGATGGTTCATCTTCGCTCCTAGGCATGAGAGGAAGAGGCCATTTCTAACAAACGCCTCTATCCCCACCACCCCATGCCCAGGGGAAGAGGTGGAGCGCACAGCTGTCCCCACTTTGGAAGGGCAGTGGCGAGCACCTGCAGTGGTCTAGCTCGAGTCTCCTCTCAGCCCCTGACCCTACCCTTAGTCTGTCAAATCTGAGCCTAGACCAGCTGCCTGTGACAATGTGCTGAGGACAGCACTGTCACAGAGATACCATCTCTCGAATCCTCCAGCCCTGTGTGCTGTTGGAGTAACTGACTCTGCTCAGGAAGCTGATGGCAGGAACTGCACAGACTCAGCCTTGTCCTAGAGCAGGTCCTTCCCTGCGGCCTGGGTTTGCACGGGCCACGCCTTGAGTCTGGTGTAAGGGAAGGTCCCTCTTCTGTCCACAGAAGGGCCTGGCCGTGTGCATAGCACACTGGGTCCAGGACAGGAGGTCCTGAACACAGGCCTCATATTTGTGCCTTCCTGAGGGGCTTGGAGCTAGCGAGGCATCCCAGCCCCTCCTCTGTGTGTTTTCTCTCCATGAGATCATTGTACCATGTCAGACTTTTGTATATTCCTAGATAAATAAACGGACAAAAGAACCCACTGTGCCTGGTCTCTGGGCTTCATCTGCACCCTGCCACGACACTGGGGGTGGCCAGGCACCCGCTGGGCTGCCTGCTGCACCCTCTGGTACGCTTGTTGTCAATGGCTGTGGAACAAATTACTTCAAAACATGGTGGCTTCAAACATTTTGCTCTCACAGTCTGCAGAGTTGAGAATTGAGGCTTGGCTGGATCCTGTACTCGGGGTGTCCACCAAGGCCACAGTCCTCTCAGGTCCAAGGCAAGGCCTCTCCTATGGCTGATGGCAGGGTTCACTTCCTCACTGGCCGTGAACTGGAGACTGCTCCCGGTCCCTCACTGCGTGCATCTTTCCATAGTGTGGCCCAGGTTTCAGCTGCTTTGTCACAGTGAGCAAGAAAAGCCAGTACGCAAAGCGGGGAGCATGTACGTGCGGAGTGGGAGGGTGTGTGCAGGTCGGAAGCACAGTCCTTTATAACCGAAGTGAGCAGAGTTGCCACATTCTGTCCATTAGATGTGAGTCGCAAGGTCCAGCTCACACTTGAGTGATCGTAGGAGGAGGGAAACACTGAGAGACCACCCACTGTCCTGCTGGGAAGCCCCAGAATGACTGCGGTTGCAGAGTCCCTAAGTCACCAAAACCTTGTTCCCTGCCTGTGATCTTGGCTATGGCAAACAGGAAGGAGATCTGACCTGCTGTCCCCCTAAGTACTTCCAAGGTCTCATAGGATGCCGCCTCTGTTCTAAATATAAGCACCTGGGACCGTTTCCCAGCTGAGACCAGAGGGGTCCTCCCAAGCCCGCTCCTGTGGGATGCTCCTCTTTTCTATGCCAGTCTGCTGCCTCTGTGTTAGAAGCAAGCTGTGAATGGGCTGCAGTAACAGACAACTGAAGACAGCTGAGGACGCCTGGGGTGGTCAGGGCTGCGACACGAGCACCTGTGGCCCCAGCGAGGTGCCTCACTGAAAATGAGTATGTGAGCTGGTCCTTGAGCGGCCATTGGAGGTATGCCAGGAAGGGAGGAGGCGAAGGGTGTGCTGCAGGGGCTGCTCGGCACTCGGGTGAAGGGGTGCTGTGTGACAGGCTGGGCTCACAGTGCGGCGGGGTGTTGGTTGGCTTCTTTCAGAGAGTTTCTGGGTGGCCAGGAGGCCAGAGTGGTGGGGAAGCCCGTGGAGAGGTCAGCAGAGGCTGGATGCCTAGTGCCAGACAGGCCTCGGGCCATGCTCGGGACAGAGGACAGCCATGTAGGAGGGAGGCCAGACCTGTCCTGTCCCCTTATGCCCTAGCCTGAGGCTGACCTGACGCTGGCTTATAACTTAAGCCGAGCCCTAGCTCTAACCTAAGCCACCCCTAAGATAGAGGCTGCTATTCTCAGGATGTGAATTGTGAATGGTTACTGTGTCCTACGGGGTGCAGCCATCTCTGCCAGAGGAGAGCACCCACAATAACTGGCTCCCAGATCCCAGCAGAATCCCCTTGCCCAGGGCAGTGATATCTATCCACAGCCTGTCCAGAGCAGGGGACAGGCCAGCCTGCTCCAATGCTGAGCGACTCCAGGTAGAGGCTGTGAATGTTGCCTCAGGACTTCCAACCTTGGGAAGGTTTTGTCCTGGGCCATGGTGTTGGAGGGGCGGGAGGTCCAACCTGAAAATTGCTGTTTCCGTGATTCTGTCTGTGGCTCCCACAAAGACCACGAGGGGGCGCTAAGGATAGGTCTAAGGCAAATGTTGCTGGCTTCCTGCGCTCCTCTCATCTCGCCCTTTATTCAGCCTCTACCTTGGGCTAGCAGCTAGAGGCAGTCAAATCAAGGATTCACAGATGCTTGGGACTAGTCAGGAATTTCAGTCATCCACCTAGAGTAAATACTGCAAGCCTGGACAACGGCACAGAGGGCCTGAGGACTTGGGTCTCACTCACAGCAAATCATGTCCTGCACGCTTCCTCCTGATAAGGCAGCAGGGGTTTCCAAGTGGAATGCCCATTGTTCCTAGGTGTTTGAACATAATTCAGGAGGCAGGACTGTGCTCTTTGTCACCTGCTCTGCTGTTTGGCTCTAGTCGCCAGTGCCGCCTTCCCAGCAGCTGAACCGGCCATTTCATCACACTGGACGCTGCTTCCTCCTGTTCTCTAGCGCCTGCCTGTTTCTGCTCCTGCTGAAGTCTCTCAAAGCAGCCCCTCCTTTCTCATTCCTGAAAACATGCACTAACCAGTGTGGGCTCCTGCCCAAGATCCTGCGCATGCCACCTGCGTTATCATATCCCTTAAGCTCAGTGAGCCTCAGCTTCTGCATCTGTAAATGGGCACAATCTGTTCCTGAATAACTTAGATAACAGGTATCTAAATATGTTGTATGTAAATTTAAAACATTCATCCCAGGGCTTGGCCCACAGCCCTCACTGGAAGCAGTTCTGATTGTCCCCCTGACCTGCTGTCCCAGACCTAACAGACAGCTCCTGTTTCCAGGCTTCCTCCCAGGAGCTCACTATTCTTGCAGCTGGCAAAACTGCCTTCCTTTTAGTTTTTATTTTTGAGATTATAATTTATATACCATGAGAGTATCCCCATTTTGAAAAGCATACCCTTGTCTCAGGGTGCCCCTGGGGCAGGGCTGGCACAGCATGCCTCGGATAGAACCCAAGTCACTGTGCCTGCCTAAGCAGGCGCTTTAATCTGCTGAGCTGTTTGGCTGGACCAAAAGGTTTTTAATTTGATGCAACCAAATTTATTTTTTTGTTGTTAGGTATACTTTTTGTGTTCTAAGAAAACCTAACCTCATTCTAAGTCTCAGATACAGACATGCCTCTTTACATGACCAAATTCTGTTTCCGCATCTAGATTGTTAAAGAAACTGGTCACCTAACCAGGAATTATATATACTGTACTTATTTCCACTTTGAAAGACTTTAGTTTTCAGGTCTTACATTTAGATCTCCAGATTATGCTGTTAATTTTTTCATGTGGCTGAGGCATGGTCCAACTATTATAGGTAGCCAGATTAGATAGAAATATTGATAGGCAGTCAGACAGGGCAAGGCCCTTGAAGGAAACAGCACAAAAGACAAGTTATCTTGCAACTGTAGGAGGGACGGATGCTCCTGCTGTGAGCCAGACCTAAAAGACCTAAAGGCCAAACAAATGCTAAACCAGTAGCACCTGGGATTGATATTCTAAATAGGTATCAATCACCTGGAAAGACCCAAGTGAGTCACTAGCCCAACCCCCAACAGAAAGAGACCCTAGCCCACATTCCAACCCCCAACAGGAAAAGATCCTGTCCCATACGTAATCCCATTGGTTGACCATAGTTTTGTCCCACCTCCTGCCCAACTAAGCGAGTTCCCATTCTCTCTACCTTAGCGTCACATGGTTTTACACTATAAAAGTCCCTGGAAGAGACAGCTTCCCAGGGGAACTACCCGCTCGGGCCCCCCTCCTGTCCCTCTCTTGGACAGGAGATTCTCTCAATAAATATATTCTGCTCATAACCTCCGTTTGTTCCTAAAATTCATTCTTCGGTTTTAGAGAACACAAACTCGTGCAGGTCAGGTCCAGAGATCGTTTTTCCCTACGTCATTTGGAGGTTCCCTATATCGTTTGGAGGTCACCCACCCGAGACCAGTTTTTCTCCCTGTATCACAACTACATTCTTTTTGCACATGGCTATCTAGTTGTCCAATTATTCCCACTTGTTAGAAAGATTAGTTTTTCCTCACTTAATTGTCTTGACACTCTTTTGACCATAAATGTGAAAGTTTATTTGTAGATTTCCAGTTCTGGAGATCTTTATTTCTCTAGTTATGCTGGCTCCACCACTCTTTTTTGTGGTGCTAAGTATTGAGCCTAGGGCCTCATGCACTCTAGGAGGGCTTTAGCCCTGAGCTACACCCCTAGGCCTGTCACAAGTCTTTTTCTT